TGATTCTCGGTATAGTGGGCATACCTCTGTAATGCAGATTTTTTTTTTGTTAAAGCCAGGACTGCAAGTTTTATGGAGGTGCTAATAAAACATTTGGCACGATGCATGTGTTGCTGAAAAATTATTCGCCCATTCACCTCGTTTGGACAGAAGGTAAATAAAAAATAATCACACTGACGCACTGCCAGCACATCGAAGCAAAAGTTTTGCAACAGGTGAGTAAGGCACAGGCACAAGAAAGGTACGTGGACACAAAACTTTGTGTACATGCCTGTGTGCCCAAACATAACTTTACATTTTAGCTCTGATATGGAAGGAGTTATGCTCCGCTCATGTAAAAAGGTACTTCGCCAATTGTTTTTTACTTGATTGCAAACAATGAGCTACAACAGCCTTTTTTCAGAAAAAATCTTAAGGGTGCAGGCGAGCTGGTGAATATTAACCATGTTGAATTAACCCGAGACTGGGGTAGAGAAGAAACATCAAAACGCAGAAGGGACAGAAAATAGACAGGACGACGTCTAAAACTCAGCTAACTCGTTTATTTAGTCCACCTCCTAATATAGTCTCAATCTCAAGGTCATCTCCACCAACACGAAAGGACGAAGTCTATACTGATCAAGCGCCACAGCCTTCATGACAACATGCAAGAACGTTGACAACGTTTACAGGTCGACGCGATAAGGCAACATCCATCCACCCTCAAACTTGAACAGAAGTATGAACTGTGTATAAAATAGTAGTAGTGGAAGAGATCCTTTTGTTCAAGTTTGAGGGTGGATGGATGTTGCCTTATCGCGTTGACCTGTAAACGATGTCAACGTTCTTGCATTGTGCGATGAAGGCAGTGGCGCTTGATCTGTATATAGATTTCGTCCTTTTGTGTTGGTGGAGATGACCTTGAGATTGAGACTATATAAGGAGGTGGACTAAATAAATAAGTTACGTGAGTTTGAGACGTCGTCCTGTCTATTTTCTGTCCCTTGTACGTCTTGATGTTTTTTTTCTACCCGTCTCAGGTTAATTAAACATAGCCTTTTTTTGCTTCTTTGCCACATATCTTCCTGTTTTTGAAGTTATGGTTAAGAGTAGGACTGGAATACGAAGTTTCAGTCCCAAACTCTCTACTCTGGAGATCGCTTGTGAAAATCGCAACAGTACCAAAAAGCCAGATTGAGTGGTGTAGCTCGTAGAGCCTGGGATTGTACTCATTTGACCGCATAGGCAACTGCAGACAAGAAATACACCCAACTAAATGTGATGGAACTGTTTTTATTACAGCAACAAAGTGAGATACATTTTCCAGTGCTCGCTTCACCTATAAGTATCTTTTGCTGTAATTAAACTTGTAACCAATCCAGTGCAAACACACTATGACAGCCACCTGGTTCGGGCCTTCGGCCTACATGCTCTACCCCCGTCTCTCGTGAGCAAAAGAAATGACATTTCAAATTAACTGATGTCGCCCAGATGAAGTAGTGGTTCGAAAATATTTACTGACACTCAGCTTCCTCTATGCACTGGTCCAAATGAGAGTTGTCTGTGTCCTAAACGATCGAGTGACTTTATATGACGCGAATTTGGTGTAAATGGCAACCTCCACTGGACAAAACCGCAACACCCGGGGAGCTTCCTCTCAATCTAGCTTCTTTACTCCCGATGTGGTAGCGGAGTCTGCTAAGCATACTTCCGGGGCAGAAATTATTAAAGTGGTACTGAAATTTCAATCAAACAAGCCGCTTGTGTGGCTCAGAGGTGTAGCTTCTTTTCCGGCGCCGCTCATCGGGGCTCTGATCGATGCATCAACCACTTCGGTCCACGACAAACACTCTAGCAGCGCAGGTGGGTACAAAAGCGAGGTGATCGCCCTCGCAGGATAGCATGATACCGCTAGCTTCCGCCGGTGGCGAGTTGCTTTTCACTACGCACTCCGACACCGGGCGGGATGTACTACAGTCCACTCTGGTGCAGAATATAAATTCTAGTACATGCAGCTTGTAAGCAAGGCGCTGCACAGAGCCGTTAGGTGTCAGCGGAAAGCCCGATGCATTCTCTCTTCGATTAGGTTGGCGCTCACTCACCTGTTATTGACAAAAAAGGAAGTCTAATTTCCACGGAAGAGAGACTACCGTCTCGATTATGGGAACGTTTCTATCAGCTAGGATTAACAAAGAAACTGGTTCACAACTGTTACAACTGCTTGCGAGACTAATGAGCATTAGCTCGCGTCAAGAAGCCGAAAACGCAGCTCTTCGAGCAGTGCTCGTAGAACGAGAGAAAAACACCACGTACGCGGACGTGCTACGAGGGAACAGGAACGACCCCAACGGGTTGGGAGGGAGACCATCTGTGGATGCGTTACAAACGACACCACAACCTCCCGGCCCGGGGAGATCACCCGCGCAGATGGATCATGCAATGCTAATCTATCTGAGATCTCCAGCACTGAACGCGTCGAACAACATCAAAGTAATCTTGAAAAAATACTTTGAGCCGCACAGCCTGGGACTGGGTGCAGTTTCAGTGCGAGACATCAGAGAAGGAGTGGCAGTACTATCATCATCAGCTGAAGGACTGCAGAATCTCCAGGACGCGATCGAAATTCACCCAAGCACCAAAGATCTGTTCGTGCTTAAAAAACCGACAAAACGTCGACCACAATTCCGTGTCTCGGGCGTCGACCCTGACATTCTATCTGCGGAATTCTTCACAAAACTTCAAAGTCAAAACCCAGAGATCGAAATTGAACCTTCGGACTTCAGTCACCGGATTTCATTCAAAGAAAAATCGGGGAACAACACTCACATCTTTGAAGTGAGCGCCAAGGTCTACAAGAAACTAAAAGAAACAAACAAACTGCGCCTAGGCTGGACTTCCTGCTCCGTAACAGAGAACTTCTATGTCCCCAGGTGCGACAAATGCTGCACCTACGGACATACAAAAGCAAAATGTGCATCACAGATGATCTTCTGCTCCATCTGTGCGGGCAACCACCCAGCACAGGAGTGCAGAATAACAAACTATGAGGAGGGTAAACACCGCGCATGTATCAACCGAAGGGTCAATGCCAACCACCCTTTTGGAGCGAGCGAATGCGGTACACACGCCTTCCACGTTTCACAACTCCGGTCTCGGACAGATTACCCAAAATAAGCAAACACAAAACTAATATTAACAAACAACATTACAATCGGAAAAAAAGGAGTTAAGAAGGAACAACCCGAGTAAAGCCCATAAAGAGAAAACGCATCATACAAACAAAACAAAACATAAGTTGACCGATGATTAATAAATTAGAGATCTTACAAATCAACTTAGGGAGATCAAGGGCCGCAACTGTTAATCTGGTTAATATATACACTGAAAATAACGCTGAATTTATTTTAATTCAAGAACCATATGTTTTCAATAACCACATTACAAGTATTCCAAACTCAGAACCATTTTTTCACTGCCCCTTAGATCCCAAATGCGCCATTATAGTTAGAGACCGATCTTGTTCAATCTTTCCAAAAATACTTGAAAACGATCTAATAGTCTTGCAATGTACATACTCAAACAAAACAGTAACAATAATAAATGTCTACATATCTCCTACAGCTTCATTTAATACATTCCTAACACGTCTTGAGTCAATCATAACAATAGACAAAAACGACATAATCATAGCCGGAGATTTTAATGCAAGACACACCAATTGGGGGGACAAAATAGATGATGACCGAGGGGAACAATTAAATAATTTTGTACTAACACATGATCTTATCATATTAAACGACCAACACTCTATTCCTACATTCTCTACCATAAACGGAGAAAGTTGGATAGACCTTTCAATCATAACCCCTTCTCTAGCTCATAACGTTACACATTGGGAAGTATTAGAAACTGATAGTTTAAGTGATCATAACTTTATTGCCTTTGGATTCTTCAATCAAAAGCAAACCATGCAAAAAAGATTAACATTAAAAAGCTACTCAAAAATAGAATTACTTATAAAACACGATGATTGGTTTAAGACCTGGGTACCTAAACACTACTCACCAGAATGGATAGATCACATATTAGATATACTATACAAAAAATTCTTAATTTGGATAAAAAAGTGTGAACGAAACGTTCGATTCGGAAATCGCACGGTCCCTTGGTGGTCAGTTGATCTACAGATCATGAGATCTAAATCTAATGCACTAAGAAGAAGGTACCAAAGATCATATAACACAGATATTAGATCACTGCAAAAACGAATTTATTACGACTACAGAGCTACATACAAGGAAGCCATCCTTCACGCTAAAATTTCAGCTTGGCAGGAATCATGTTCCGCTACCACAAAAAAGTCTCTCTTCGGAATCCCATATAAACTTGCATTTAATAAGAGGAGGTCACCCCTAATTCTTCCACCGATATTGAGAGCAGGTAATACTTTAACTTCTTCATTTAATGAATCAGTTCAATATATTTTAGATACGGTGTTCCCAACGGACGACATTACAAAAGACTCACCATATATAACTAGCTTACGACAATACTTATGCACTCCCTCATTCTCTCCACCAGATGTTGAACTAACATTTCAAGAAATATCAAACATAATAACTAAACTACGACTTAAAACCGCCCCCGGATTAGACAAAATCAATGTTACTTTTCTTAAATATTTTTGGCATAACCATCCCGAATTTTTCCTCGCTCTATTCAACTCCTGTCTAACATCTGGATATTTTCCAAAGGAGTGGAAGAAAGGGAAAATACTACTGCTAAATAAAAAAGATAACGACAAAGCAAAACCCAACGCCTATCGCCCAATTTGCCTAAATTTCATACTCGGAAAAGTTTTAGAACGTGCACTCTATAGCAGATTATATTTCTTCCTTAACTCAAAAAAACTATTACACCCACGACAATTCGGGTTCACACATCTTAAATCATCTACACAAGCTCTGTTCACACTTACTACACATCTACAAAAACTAAAAAATAAATCAACAGCGGTAGGTATGGTATCCCTAGACTTTACAGGAGCATTTAACACACTATGTTATCCGGTAGTTTTGGCCTATTTAAAACACCATTCTTGCCGAAGTAATCTATACAATCTGCTATATTCATTCTTCCACGATAGAACCGTCACATATATCACTCCAGAAAAACAAGAAATAAACAAATCAATTAATATAAGATGCCCCCAGGGCTCTCCACTACGCCCCTTACTATGGAATATGTTACTATCAGGATTACTAGAAAGAACCTTTCCGAATCACATATATCTACAAGCGTTTGCAGATGACATCGTAGTTGTCATAGAAGGGAACTCAAGAAGAGAATTAGAAGAAAGAACTATCGAAATACTGCAAGAAATAGGACAGTGGACATCCGAACGTAAACTATATTTGAACTACTTGAAATGTATATGTCTAATAATAACTAGAGGAGAACTATATAAAAAAAGACCCCCAATAATAAAATTTCACGATCATAAGTTAGAAATAGTGAAACAACTTAAAATTTTAGGAGTCATTTATGACTCACATTTAACCTTATTACCACACCTTCAATATATAAAACAGAAAGTTCAAATCCACACAGCCAACATCTCAAAAATATACTCAACAAATTGGGGTATCACATCAAGCCAACTACGGGAAATATACTTACGAAGCATAGAAAGATATATAGTGTATGGATCACCCGCGTGGTGGAGACCATCAGGAAATTCAGATATGTTAAGACAACTGCAATCCATACAAATGTTACCATTACTTAAAATAGCAAGAGCGTTCCGCACAGTTTCTAACATAAGCCTGCCTATACTATGTAATATCATCCCAATCAACATTACTCTTGACGTAGAATCATTTATGTTTAATGTCTTCCAACTTAAGATACCCGCCCAATTCGATAACTTTAGTATCTCCCCCACAGAGGTATCGTATCCTATAGATCTTTGGAAAACTCATCCAACAAAGAGATTCAATATATCATTCCAAAGAATCAATTCTATTACTGTATCTCAAATAACCAACGTCATATCACTCTATACAGATGGTTCAGTGTACTTAGATCAGGTGGGAGCAGCATTCGTTATTCTGAAAAACAATGGAAGAATTATAAAAATAGGAAAATATCGCTTACCAAAACACAGTACAATATTCGATGCAGAGGCTATTGCCATATTAAAAGCCCTTGATTATATTCTTAAAACAAGAGATGGACTACGTTGTAACATATACACCGACAGCCTATCAGTCCTACAAGCATTGGCAAATCCAAACAATGCAATTCCTTTAATTAACGAAATAAAACATCTAACCCAATCAGTCAACAGATTTAATAGAACGGCTTTTTTTCACGTCAAAAGCCATACTAATATTTTAGGGAACGATCTAGCCGACCAATTTGCAAACTCGGCACGTTATCATGGCCAATACATACACCTACCAAAATCAAAACAAAATATAAAACATACAATAATGGAATTAGCACGTAGGAGATGGGATCACTCTTGGCAAAACGATGGCAAAAACACAGAATTATTTACATGGATACCATCAACCAATCATATACCCATTAGCTTCCCTCCTTCTAGTAACATCACACAAATTATTACTGCACACGGCAGATTTCCTTTTTATTTCTATAGATTTAATATACACAACCACACTACTTGTCCCTGTGGACAAACTTGTACTAGTATGGATCATTACTTTACTGCATGCCATCTAACAAAACCATTTATTCAAAAACTTTCAATATCGCACATAAACTTGAATATTCGTCAAAAGCTACTGAACTCTAAAACTCATATAAATACTCTGGAGGCGTTAGTTAAACATATTTCAGACAACATTCCATAGTATATAAATAAATAAATAAATATATATATATATATATATGTGTGTATATGTATACATATGTGAATGTATAAGTATGTGTGTTTATATGTGCGCGTGAGTGTTTGTATATGCAGGTATGTATGTGTGTATGTATATGTATATATGATTATATGTATTTGTAACAAACTTGAGAATGGAAGATATCAATCTCAAGTGAAAAACAAAAACTACTGTAAAAAACATTTCTTACAGACTAACTTTTAACCCAAACAAGAACGGAATCCAAGAAAAAGACAACCAAAAGTCATCTTTAAACCCTGAACTGCTAATATGCACACTGTCGATGGCCTTGGAAGACCCAAAAGTGGTGGATAGGGGGGTTTGGACCAGTTCCATTCTCCGGGCTTCCCTAGCTTCTTAGAAAAAAAAAAAAAAAAAAACGCCATCTCCATGAGAAGACTCCATCTTTGGTTAGGAGAGCCGTGGACTAGTTCCTGGCTCGGAGCTTCTCCTTAGCTTTCCATCCTGAACCAACACCACAATCAATGGCAATTGGAAGACCCACAACATGATCAGGGGGAGTGAGCCAGTTTCCTTCCCTGGGATTCCACTAACCACCCGCGACAAACAGCCATCCACAGAGAAGACCCCAAACAACAGGTTACGAGGACCTAAGACTAGTTCCAGGTTCTGGGCTTCTCAGCAAGAGTAACGAGAGTATCTACAATAAAACTGGAACGAAAAGTCATCTACTCTCAGAGCAACAGTGTTCAGGAACGGACAACCAAGACAGACAGTGGAAAAGAAAAGAGGTTGATCTCTTATTGCACCCCTCAAGACCGACCACCAACAACAAACAACGTACGAAAAGAAAAGTAATACTGAAGAAAACGACTAAATATTTAGTGTCTGTTTCAAGACATAACCTCATTCCTTCCAATCTCAAAAAACAAATTAATAGCAACACATGATAAGAATACAGGATGCAAACATGAAGTTTTATAAGTGTGATCCTTCTCCTTCGGGGGAAAATGTAAATATGTAAATAGGTAAATACTAGGGTATGTTTAGCTATAATAATAATCTCTTGCTGTAAAATATAATCATTAAGAAAATCAAAAACAACGAAAAATTACAATGGTCTCTGCTCCCTCCTCCCCCCCCCCCCCTCAAAAAATAATTAAGGCGACAGGCAAATAAGAAATAAAATGAAAACATACATGAGAACGCCAAGATACGTAGAAATACATAACTAATTTTAAAATAAAATCATTAAAAGAGAATAAAATTTTAACACTGTTTCCAATTCATTTTCTTATATATTCCAGTACGAAAATATTAAAGAAGACAACTTCCTCGTCGTCAAGAACACATAAGACAAGAGGCAGGACCAAGCGGAACAAAAATTAATAACTTAATACCAAAGGAAAAAAAAAAACGAAACACAAATACTCACAATTGCTCGCAAGATTCTCCAAGTTCGTTCCAATGCCAATGTTCAGCTGTTTCCCTGTTTTTCTTTTTAATTGGCTTTAAGGACTAAAGAAACGTTCGGTCAATTACGGCCCTCATTTTTTATATTATATTGGATCAAACCTGTTATACCGTCAGGTGGTGCAGGTCGAGAGGAACAGTTTATTTCCTTTTTTTTATCTCTCACTTAGAAATTGAGTAATTGAGTTTGTTCGCAGCCTCAGTCACTCCGCACTCAATCGGCGACCACCGTTGCCCTGTCGCCGGTTGTGTCACCGACCACTACCGGCTACACCCATTGAACCCAGACTGAACGCTTCACTTAGACGCCTTCAATGTCGTTTTCAATGTTGTGACGTAACGGTTTGCTGATTGGTGCAAATGGCTTACTTAAAGTTCAAGCTATAACCGCTTGGGGAATAACTGGCACTGGCGGCGGCCCTTGCGCCTCCCAATGGCCCAACTCTCCCAATATACGGCTCTGCTACTAACGAAACGTCATGCGCAGGCCTTGTCTTTTAGGTAATATAGAGTGTAGGCGCAACATGTTCGCAGCGTCAGAAGGCGGGTGCTCTTTAAATTAAAGGAAAGGCCGCGAACGCGTAGCGATGGCAACACGCTGGCAGTTCACGGCCAGTGAAATTACAGAGTTTTACTGGACTGTACTCTACAGCTTTGCGTACGCAAGGAAATTGCGGGTCGTGAGCGCGGATGCGCAGAACGCAATAGAACATCTAGCGTATAGCGTACGCACTCAATGCTGGGGATCTTGCGTTGGGGGCTAGCGGGCTTTGAGGGAAGTTCTCGAGAGATCTCGGGCCCAACGAGAGCAGCAGTTTCAAGATGGCAGTTACCTCGACTGGCGCAGCAAGGGCGACAGGGTATTCAGGAAGTACAGGGTTACGTGAAATTTTGTGGTGTCCAGCACGGCAATTCATTCCAGGACCTGCCGCGGTCGAATCAGATCGCCGTGCAGCTGAAGGAGTGCACAGCGAATATGTTCACCGCTCGCGATGTGCGTCAACGCTGCGATCTGCTCAACGCTAAACCTAATCGCGCAGTTCATCGCCGACGGACGAACTTCAAGGAATCGCCAAAGTGGTCGCTATGCATTGGACATCAGTAGGTCATGGATTTCATTCCGCGACAGCATTGATGAAAGGTGCCGTTTCCACGGGACAATTTCATTTCATTTATATACTCACAAGGCCGAAGCATTACAAAAAAAAAGTGGTGAAGCAAAAAAAAACAAAAAAAAAACAACAACATGTACATAAACGGGAACTCCGTGATCGAATTTGGCTACGCACTCGTACTCGTTGCCTCTGTACCCTACAGAAAAGCTCGCTTGACAAGGCAGCTGCGGCTTGGTTTAATTTGAAATGAAATGGTTTCCCACGTTAATATTTTAATTTTTTTTCTTTTTTTTAGTGAGGAGCATGTTTATAAGCACGCGGAGTTCTACGGCTCAGGCGAATTTAACCAAGGTCATGTGGGTTGTTCACTCGTAAACGTAACGCACAACTAAATTTGGTCCGAGCAGGTGTGTTTTGCGCACGCTACATTATTGCGTATTGCCTACGTAAGAGCCAGCAAAAAACTGAATATAGTTAAGGGAAAGTCCACTACAGCGCTATCGCTATCCTCTTGTACTATTTGAGCGTGTTGGTGCATTTTAAACATTTAGAAAGTGGAGACACATAAGGGACGACACAGAAAGGACAAACTTTCAACTTCAACAACATTTAATTTTCGCCTTCAAGCTCAAAGCCCGCCCGCTCCGTGGGTGTGCGGGAAAGGGAAATCTTGGGGGAAGGAGAGGAGGTGGAGGAAGTGAGGAGGTTGCCAAAGGAGGAAGGGAGAGGAGGGAAGGGGGCTCAATTATTTCTCTCAAAGAGAGAAATAAGTGTGGCCTATCCAATGGCGACAAGCCCGAAAACCATAAGCACCCCTTCCATCTCCCTCTCAAGAAAGGAGATTATCTTTCTGAGGCCCACAATGGAACCCGAACGCTGACAGACTAGACGAGGCCACAAGGTCACCGGCAGAAGCGGCCTTCCTTTCTTTCCCGCACATCCAGTCTTCGAGCCCCCTTCCCTCCTCTCCCTTCCTCGTTTGGCAACTTCCTCCACGTCCTCTCCTTCCCCCAAGATTTACCTTTCTCGCACTCCCACAGAACGGGCGGTCTTTGAGCTTGAAGGCGAAAATAAATGTTGTTGAAGTTGAAAGTTTCTCCTGTCTGTATTAGCCCCGAGAGCGAACACAAGCGTCGCTGCGGTCGCCGCACCCTGATTGGGTGAGGTGTACCGTGACGTCGGGGGGAGGACTCCGCTCCGCGATCTCGCACCGGCTCGCTTCCCAGCACCGGTTTCCTGGTTTGGCGTTGTGTGCCGCAAGCTCTTCGAGGAGCTGGACTTCGTTTACCCGGTGTTCAAGACGTTGAGTTAGGCCGATATTGACGTTCTTCCGTACATTTTATAAGCCTGCTTGTCCCTTTTACCTTTAAAATTGAGTTACAAATCCCGAAAGCTATCGGCGGAGGCGATTCCGCCGATGAGCCTCCCCGTCCGCCCATACGACACAAGGCAATCTTGCGAGGGGTCGGTGAAGCGGTGGCGGAAGTGTTTCAGACGCTGGAAATCTGTTCCTTGCATGTTCATGATTTAGGACGATATTCCATCCCGCTTTCAAGGCATTTGAAGTGCCATTTATATCATGGGCCTTTGGATGGTCGGCAAATGAGCTCGCGACCCCGACTCTGTGCTGCCACGCTGCATGCGCTGATTCTCAGATGTTTTAAAGGCCCTGCGTCTGATAATCTTTGAAGTGCTCGTGGAACAGGGTTGCTTTATACAAATGTAGCTTTTTCGTGAATTATTTATATAGTTTATACACGAAGGCAGGCATATTTCTTAGAAGATGCACAATTACTAACAATTAGTTTGTACGGCAGCACCAAAAACGGCCAAATTGCCCCCAGTTGCCTGCATGATATGTATTGAACTGCCCAAATATACACAGCAATAGTGCCGTAATTTGGAATGTTTATAATTTTTTCTAACATTCTTTATTCCAGCCTTGGGTATTCGGAAAATACACCGCTTAGTCTGAATTGTCATTGCCACTTAAAACAGACACTGCTGCAGGTCCCTAAACGTTCCTTAGCCTGCAAACTCCCTGCAGCTGGACTTTCTGACAACAGAGGAAATCAGGAGGAAGAGCAAGCATTCGAACGACTGTCCAGTGGTAGATGCAGCACTAGAAGCAGAAAATGTGGAACCTGTGAAGGGCGACAGTCTGCGTGAGAAAAGTTTCCGGTATTTTAGCTTCAGGACAATTCAATTTAAGTAAAATCTCAATTTTAGGGCTTAAGTGACTAATAACGAGCTAGACACTTTCGCTTACGTTTGTTATACTTGAGGGTTGATATAAACAAGTCCACAGATACCACCCGTGTAGTCCATGGAAATACTATCCGAATCCAGCAAAGGTCAAATGCGGGCAATGTATATAGTAAATGTTTCTTGTTTTTTTTTTTTTACTTTGCC